ATTTTTTAAAATGTTATTAAATGCTATAGATTAGGAAAAGGTGCCCTAATCCGGTAAACAGAAAATAAATGTCATGAATGTCTACTTTTATCTTGAAGCTTTTGTGTGTGCTTTCAAAAATGCTATGTAACTTTTTATATTGTTATGAACTAACAATAAGTACGTTGGATCCTTGAAAATTAATTTTGTTTTTAGAATACATACAGGGCTTTTTGCCAACCCAAATCAGGTTTAACCTAATTATATCCTAATTAGGCTAATTCATAAATTCCAGCTATTTAAGCAAGAATGATTACAATAGCTTGAGTAGAAGGCAACTCTGTCAAGCTACAGAGTATATGATTGATGTTAACGCATCTATCTGTAAAAATTTTAAAAGAACTTATCAAAGACCAAGCATCTTTGCAATTCAAGAAAACACCCATTACACTGGGAGAGATGTTATGAAAATTCAGTTAAGCAAAACTCCTAGATTGGATATTAATACTTTTAGAATATAACCATGATTGAACATCTTTTTTTTTTTTTAAAGATTTTATTTATTTATTTGACAGAGAGAGATCACAAGTAGGCAGAGAGGCAGGCAGAGAGAGAGGAGGAAGCAGGCTCCCTGATGGGCAGAGAGCCCGACATGGAGCTCGATCTCAGGACCCTGAGATCATAACCTGAGCTGAAGGCAGCGGCTTAACCCACTGAGCCACCCAGGCGCCCCGTGAACATCTTTTTTTAATGACTTTCATTTGTATTTGATTTTTTTTTTCTGTTTTAAAGCCACCAAATCATCTCTAGGTAATATAAAATATGTATTGTACATAAACATCTTAACTGTGTGTCAACAAGAATATTTGTACCATGTATTTATATAAATCAATGAATAAATGTTATATACTACATGCATTCCTAAATTATATCCTTAAAATAATTCTGGTTTTTAAAACTAATTTGAATGCTACTCATCAAAAATCATCAGTCTTGCCAAGCATCTGTCTTCATCATCTCTCACTGATCGATGAAGTAGTAAAATATGAGTCATTTTTCTAACATACAAAATACATAAGGATTTAATTTCAAGTTCATGATTACACAAATCTGTAAGAGAAAATTAGGGGATGATTATTTAACTTTTTGGTTATGAAGTAGGTAAATATTCATAGGTAAATATTTGAGATGAATGAATAAATGAACAAATGAATAAATGATAAAGGATGAGTCCCCATATCATACAACAATAAGAGAGAGCAGCGTAGTACATTGAAAAAGGAATGCCAGAGCCTGATTGTATACATTGCCTCAACACACTGTGAATACCTAAAGTTGCAAATCTTGACCTATTATCCCTCCCTTCAACCACAAACTCCTACTCTTTCAATTACATACTCTCCCACTCTTCTCTTCACTTTTGATGCCTCCAATCCTTTAATCCTTCCTATTGACAATGTAAAAACTAGCATTCATTCCCAAACTGTTGTACATTATTTTATTTATTCCTCTTAACAATCATATTATCCCCATTTTAGAGCTGAGACTTAGAGACTCACCCAAGATCACCCTACTAAGATTTCTGATATCAGAATAAATGGAGACATTAGATGCTTTATTCTCATCATATCAATCACACACACTATAGGAAAAAAGTACAAAATTTTAAAAGAATTATAGCCATCCTAAAAACAAGAAGATAAATTTTTTGAGAACCATAAGTTCATCTCAAGTGTGTGGCATCAAATCAGTCGTCAGGAAGCGGGCTTCGGGGAGATAACTACCACAGGCTGTGTAATTTGGGATAATGGTAGAAACGTTTTATAATTATTACCTTCAGAAACTCGGAAAGCAAACTAAGTACCTGTGATCTTGTAGCTCTACAGCAATGGTTCGTAAGACTTGGCCCCCTGGAAGACATCTGGCAGTGACTGAAGACAAATAAAATTGAACTGAAAACTTCAGTTACTTTTCAAGACCAACTCAACTGTTGTGACTCCACTCCTGCTATCAGATTACACTACTTTATGTCATTCATATCAGAATTAGTGTTTTCTTTACATTCCATCAGCATTTTAACACTTGATTCACTCCTTTTTCTACATGTCTCTATTATAAATCTCTTGAAGCAGATGTCTTTATCCATGTATCCCATACATTGTGTATGTCTTACACAAAGTATACAATTAATGTTTGCTGAGTACACATTTGTTGAATGTCTACTACTCTGCAAAGACTGAGCCTTGATCTCATAATCCAGTATTAAGAGACACAGGTCACACAAATCACTTCACAATATATTACAAGTCTTACAGACTCCAAAGTCTTACAGACCCTAGTTTTCGATTAGATATCCCCAGTGACCAGTACCCTCTGGGCATTCTTTCACACCCAACTTCTAATTGCATGAGCCTAATTATTGTGTGAAGTTGCCAGGTGCCTAAAATGTGGAAAACAGAGTACGTTTCTAAGGACTGTAGTTGGTGTGAAAAGTATAAAAGGTGGTCTTTTAAGGAGTTTAGGGGTTGGAACGTGACCAACTAAATTTTAGTTGAATAGTAACAAGGAAACCAAAAACAGAAATCCTATGGCTGCCTGTGGGAAGGAATGATCAGAGGCAAAGGCATGTATGTACATCAGAAAAGGTCAACTAAGAAAGAGAACAGAAATAAGAAATAGGTAATTATCTGTTTTGCTATTTTAGACCAAGGAAGATAGGTTTAATATGACATTCAATTAAAAAAACACTGTAACTCCTTCGCCCATCTAGGTAGCTCCAACATCAGAATGCTTAATGGAGAGTCTACTACAGAGGGGAATAAAAACAACAATTTTAATTTCTCTTCCAAAGTAAATCCTGCTTCTTAATTGAAGATATAAATTTGGACTTCTGAAGACAGTGACTGGAGGTAGACTTGGGGTCCTAAGCATGCAGGCAATGGAAATGGATGAAGTCACTTAGGATCAGTAAAAAACAAGAACAAAGAAAAGCTTAAAATGTAAATGGTATATAAAATACAAGACAGCAAAGGAAAGAATAAGCAAAATAAATCATGATGGTTTCCTCACATAGTCCCTATCACATTGTGTTGGCTGTATCATACGAGTTTACAATTGAACACATGGCACTCCCCCCCCACCATGTCATTTTTCTACCTTAATTTCAAGATCCTTAAGAACAAGAACCACTCTTCCTCTTCATTTTCCTAAACACACCATTCCCAGGAGTTATGCATATAGTAAGGCCCAACCAATTTTTGATTCACTGAATTTAAACCTGGCAAAGAATTCCACTTCCCTCACCATTCCCAATGAGTCCTAATCTCTCATCACAAGTAAGTTCCTAATTTCCTGTATCAATAACTGCAGGTAACCTGCTCTCACAGAATTCTTGGCTGCTAGGAATATGGGTTTAAAGAAACATCCTAATGTACAGGTGGGTTTTCTGAGAGCTGTTCTATTGAGGCTCATCAATGGGGAAACCTGGCAAGCCTGATGAGAAAACTAAGTCTGTGGCTATTTTTTTTTAAAGATTTTATTTACTTATTTGAGATAGAAAGAGCATTAGAGCGAGAAACAGCATGAGCAGGGGGCCTGATGTGGGGCTCAATCCCAGGACTCAGGGATCACAACCCCGAACCTAAGGCAGATGCTTAACCAACTGAGCCACTCAGGCACCCCTGTGGCTAATTTCTTAATGGAGAAATCCAAAGCCAAACACAGCCTCTGGTGGGACATTACGGGAATAGGAATTGGGAACTAAGGATTTATGACTTTGGGGCAGACACACTACCCAAATACCTTCTGTCATCATCCACTAACCATTTCCAACTACTGACCAAATGCATTTAACTTGGCACTGACTTTTAAACATTCTGTAAGAAAGATGAAAAGCAGAGATTTCAGGGACCATCTATGAATGAGCAGCACATACTAGTAAACCTGGGACTATGATGGTGAAACAGACATCATTACAAAATTAACACTTGCAGACCACATGTTCCTTTTTTCTTCTCTAACCAACTCTTCTTGTATTTCAACCTATCCTTCCTTCTCTTCCCCATAGCATGTTTTTTTCTTTTCTCTTGATCTATATGGATCTGAGTGTACACAGACTCATGTGGTTTTGATAGCAGCAGTTTTCAGTATCTTTGGTCTAGCAAGACTTTCTTGTTGGTACAATACCATGCTAATTCCTCAAAACTCTTTGAGATTGTCTCTTGAACTAAAGAGAAATATTAGCATGAACTATTTTCCCAATGGTGGGTTTTAAATTGTTTTCCTCACTGAGCATGGCTAACCAGAAATCAAAAGACAGATGATGCAAGTTTTGAATGCTATTAGGTTGGGGATAAAAAGAAATCAACTACAGGGTAATGGAAGAGGAAGACTAACCTCAAAAAAGCGTACAGGAAAGGGCAGTTGCTGCCACAAGTATAGAGAGAAGTCAAGTCAGACATCCATGACGGGTTGGGGGAAGGGTGGCTGGTGGCAGGAAATACATTTCGAAGATTGGAAAGGTTAAGAGGTTAGCCTAGGTTGGATAATACGAGCACAGGTTTTGGCATCAAATATCTGGGTTTAAATTCTTACCTGTACCCAACTGATTTTCATCAATTAAAAGGATGAGCTGAGCATCAGTATTTCTACCATAATTTGAGGATAATATAAGTATATTGCTTAGAACATAACATGGCATTCAGTAATTGGCAGCTTTTATACTCCTGCTTAAGGATAAAAGGGTCCAAAACAGAACTGTAGCCTACCAGTACTGGCAGCTTTTAGAAAGAGCAAATAACTATAAATCTAAAAAAAACAAGAGCAGTCTCTCAGAGGCTACAGAAAAAGTCACAAGATTCACACTCAAGGCCAGAAAAACAGTGAACCTCTTACTAGAACCTTTACTATTAATATTTAAAAGCACACAGCTTAACAGTAATGTTAATTTTACCACTAGGTGGCAATGATACAGCTGAATTTCACTGACAAGATTAATTTTAAAAATTGAGCAAATCCAGACAGAAATTCCAAGAAGCTTTTATACATTTTCATATTAGAAAAATGAAAAATTCTTTTATATACAATTAAATTTATAGTAGGATGTATAATTATCTGATTCAATAGATATGTTAATTTGAGGCTTTTTCCTCTGTGCACTGAGGCAATTCATGCAATAACTTTTAAACAGTTCTCATCACAGAAGTCTTTAAAAAAAAATCTGGACATACATCATGAAGATAACAGAAATTAGGGAAAGCTTAAAGTCTCTTTAAAGTCTTAGAATTCTAAGAAAGGCACTATAAATATAAAATGCAAAATATTTCAATGAAAAAGTAAAACCTTTAAAAAAATGACTGACAGCATTTTTTAAGGGCCAAAACATGAAATAATATGGAAATCATAAATTAAACCAATATTCACATAGGTAAAACCTTTTCAATGTCTTAAATAAACATATTAAATTTACTAAGCAAATTTATCAAAATTCTGACTTAAGCAGATTCTAGAAGAATACCTTTTTACAAGTGTCAAAAGAGTAAATGATGAAATTCCTTAGAAACTGTCACTTTCCATAATTATTTCTGCTTTCTTCATAAAACAGGTCACAACCTATGGCTTGTTAAAAATAATAATAACTTTATTCTTTTCATTTCTTTTTCTTTTCATGTCAAATAAAAGGAGAAGGTACGATAAACTTTTTCAAACTATAGACATTTCCAAGTACACAGTTAAAAAAAAAGTAACTTTAAATTCCCAAGATTCTTCCCCACATATAAGGTAGGAGTTCATATTATCACATGTAACATTACAAAACCTATACTATAATTATGAATAAATAATTACCCAATTCATAAGACCCAATTAAAACAAGCCTATTTATTCCCCTTGTATAAATAACCTAAAGTTCCCCAAATTTTCAACTCACAGTTTTCTATGAATGGATAGATCAGAATCTTTTATGTATCAGCTTTCAGTTTTCTTACTAATTTAATAATCACTTCCTATATATTTATTTCCAGAAAAATCTCCCCCTCTTACCACCTAAACAAACATAAGAGAACAGAAGTATGGTTTCTAAGTTATTTTTATAATTCATAGATCAGTTTCCTCATTATTGGGCTTCACTTTTAATTATTGCAGATCACCCTGAAATCTAAAAGACAGATATTTCTCATTCTGTCAGTGTATACAGATACACAAAACATAACCATTTATGATGTTAATACAAGAAAAGATTACCGTGGCAGCTCTCATAAAACCAAACAACAGATTTCAGGAAAGTGCTCAATCTGTTCACTGTTATCTGTAATTTTCTTTCTTTTTTTTTTTTTTTTTTTTTTTAGAAAGTTTAGGGAATGCCACTGTAATAGAAGGGATAATCGCAGATCTACAAAAATGAATGCATGTGTATAAGTAATTTATACAGAATCAGCTTCCAATTATCTGCACAAATGAAAAAGAAGACAGAGATGATGCAAAACACATAATCCTTGAACTACTTCAGACACATTTTTCTATCTACATTTCATAGGGCTGTGACTGAGAATTGAGAACACAAAGAAAATTAAGCCACACTGCAGAGGTTAAGAGTTACAAACACAATTATTGAAACAATTTAACAATGAAATGCCATTATTGACTTGAGGTTGTCATCTTCTGTTTATTTCTGATGGTGGCTCGAAGTTTACGGATCACCAGTTTATCAGGCAGAATCATATCACCTTGTTGTTCTAGATAATCCAATAAATTTTCAGTCCATTGGAGAGCAGCTGCATGATTAATATGTTTCTCTGGAATCAGTTCTATTTCCTCCTCCTCGTTTTCACTAGATTCGTCTGTCTGGCCTTGCGCTCTTCTGATGATTTCACTGTCAGTTAACACTTCATAGCCTGGCTCAGTACTGTCCACTTCAAGCCATTTTTCGATGTTCTCAGTAGTCACATTTTCCAGTCCTTTGGTATGCTGTAAAATGGTGGCCACAGTAGCCACAGAAACATCTTCTTCATCAAAGTCCAAGCCTTCTTTCTCCTCTATGGTAGGAAGAATCTTCTTCCATGCTCTGCTAATGGTAACTGGCTTTACTAAATTCCATGCCATTGCTATTTCATAAAGTGCATCTAGCAGAGTTAGCTTCTTCCAGAACGATTTCAAGTCATTACCCTCTTCCAAGTTGTTCTGAAGAAGACCTGCACGATAATTTCTCTTCATTGTCGCTATGACTCCCTGATCCGAGGGCTGGATCAATGAAGCCACATTAGGTGGTAAATATTTAGCAAATATTTGGCCATCATCTGACCTAAGGACGTTTTCATTTGGATGTGTTGGTGAATTATCCAACAAGAGCACAGCCTTTTCCTGCAGGCCTTTAGATCTTAAGTATTCTCGAACCTGTGGCACAAAGATCTTATCAAACCACTGTCGGAAAATGGAAAGATCCATCCATGCACCTTTTTGGCTGAAATAAGAGACTGGCAGGTTTGAGGTGTCAGTTGACTTGAAGGAGCGAGGCTTCTTTGCTTTCCCCACAACACAAAGTTTCAGTTTGTGTAAACCTGTTGCATTGGCACAACACATGATAGTGACTCTTTCTTCAATTGACTTGTGCCCAGAGACAGTGCATTTACCTTTGATCACAGAAGCCCTGGAAGGCAGGCATTTCCAAAAGAGTCCAGTTTCATCTGCATTGTAGATCTGTTCAGGCTGTAAATTCTCTCGTTCAATAAAGTCTCGAAAGTTGTTACAAAAATCTTCCACAGCAGTCTCATCTCCATTTAATCTTTCATTTCTAATATTAATCTCTCTAATGCTGTGCCGCTGCTTAAAACGAGTTAACCAACCAGCAGAGGGGTTAAAATCACCATCCATTCCCAAAGCATAAAAGAAGAACTCTGCCCTTTTTGCACAAATAGGTCCAGATATGGGATTCCCTTTTGCCCTTTGCTGGTTGAACCATTCTAGCATTGCTTTGTCCAGTTCCTCATACATGGATGGTTTCATAGATTTCCTCTTGGCCAGAAGACTTGTGGAATCAGAACTGCTTGCATAAGTTATAATTTTTTCCTTATTTTTTCTTATATCCCGAACTGTTGTCTCACCAATTCCATAAATCACTGCCAGTTGTTTGGAAGAACCTCCGTCTTCAAGTTTTTTTATTATATCAAGCTTATCTTTAATAGTTAACACCACTCGCTTCCGTTTCCCTGACATGCTGAGGCTCTGGGACTCAGGGCCTCACCCCACACTCGCTCTGAAGCAATCTACAAAATCCTTCCTTCTTTCACACAAACTCGCTTTAACAGTCCTACACACTCAGTCTTTTAGCCTTACCAGGAACCTGGTGGCCCTGACCCCGTCCCCGGATGTGCTTGGCTGGCAAAGAGACAGCAGAGGAAGATGAGAGGGGAAGAAGTTTGAGAGAACAGGCCTTTAACTCAGATGGGCAGTAGAGGAGGCCCCAAGCCACAGCGGATAATCCGGATTACAAACATTTGTTTTATTCCCCCAGTGGCAGCGTTAAAGACTATAACCCCATCGTGACCACAAACCTCCTTCACGCCCTGATGCAGGGTAAACGCCCGTCACTAGCCCCTGCCACACCCCAAACTTACTGCAGAGAGCGGAAGAACCAGGGAGTCGGGGACTAGCCCCCTTCCCCAAGGGAAAGGTTACGTTTGATTTCCTCCCCAGAAGCAAACCCCTTCCACCGCAAGCCACACTTCCCCGTGCTGGGCTTAGCCTGGACAATCCTCCCGGCCCCTCACAGCCCGCCGAGCCCCTCTCCCCACCTCAACTGGAACCAGGACCCGCACCGCTCCCTGACTAACGCGCGGCGACCGCTCCTCCCCCAGCACACGCTCCCGGAAGATGCCCCCTCCCGCTGCCGGCTCCGCCCCTTGCTCCTCCCAGAGGCGGGACTTCCCCTGGTCCCCGGAAGGAGGAGGAGCGCCGCCAGTCTGGTGTGGGTACCTGGGGCGGAGGCAAAGGCGGAGGCAGAGGCGGAGGAGCTTTGAAAGGTGAGGGCGCGGGGCGGTGCGGGGGCAGCTCGGGGCGGGGACTCGCTCTCGCTCCCGCTGCTAATGGTTTATTAACGGAGCTGGGGAAGCCGCGCCTCCCGGCAGGCGGGAAAGAAAAATTCCCGCGGGCCCTCGGGGTGGGCGGTACGACACCCCTCGACGTCGTTCTCCGCTTGCCCTCCGCTCGGGCTGAGCTACAGTGGGCGGGGTGCCAGTTTCTTCCGCAGTAGGGAAGTGGGCAGGACTGTTGGGGGGAGCTCGAGTGGTGATTTCGAGGGCTTCTGGCCTTTCCAGACCCTTGTTGGTTTTCTGGGTGCGGAGCTCCTCTGAGCCCTGGGGGTTTGTGTCGTCCCTCGCACGTCATCGTGAAGCTCGGTCTAAGGGTCCGGTTTCCTAGCTACGGTGCCCCTCTTTCCCGGAGGCAGAGTTGCGGACGGGCGGACGTGCTGCGCTGGGTACCTGCGTCCCGCCAAAGAGCCAGGTTTGTTATCGGGAAAATGACTCTGGTGTTAATTCCCGAGGGGATCCTTCCTCTGCCACTCAACCCTGCTGGATTTAGAGAATCACCTTCAGTGTTCAAGATTTTAATGAATACTGTAGTTGTCCGGGAAGCCAAGCTGGCAGGATGCTCTCTATGCGAAATTGTGGAGCTTGGTTCGTGATTCCAAGTGGGGCACATTGGCTTTCCTCTCTTTATGTTATCTTCCCATATTCTATTTCTGTCATGTTGTGCTGTCCTGTTTTCTAGCAATGGAAGAACTGGGGTGAATTTATTCATAGCACTGTGAAAAGAACGTAATCAGAATCATACACTGTAAGTCCCTGTATTATGCCGGCTTGTTTTGCTGTCCCTAGTAATTTCATCAGACTGTGAGCTCCTTGGGAGCAGAGACTGTGTCGTTGATTTCTTCTAGTAACACCCACAGCTCTGAGCATGTGCTGGCACATAGTGTGTACATTCAATAACCATTTCTTTGATCAATTAAAGTTTACTCTCCAAACTATCATATAAAAGGAAACATCAGGGAGGGGTGTTGTTTTACAAATAGGAATGCACCCCTTCGTCAAATAATGGCTGGGCTTCCACTGCCCTTCAAACTTTAAAAATGTAAACGGTCACCTGATAGGGCAAATGATTCCTAGAATGCATCTTTTCTTTAGGATGAGTTAACCTCAAAGTCTAGACTAAAGGGTATTTCTTCTGATAAGAAATTCAAGTGACATCATCAAAGTACCTTTTAGTTGTAGAGTTCCTGTGGGTGAGAGAGCAATATGGATTCTTACCTTTAACTTACATTCTTTGGCAGACAGCATAGCAATGTATGTGCCTTCTATGTGATATTAACTATGAAGCACAAAGATGTGATAGTATTGATCATCTTCATTTATTTAATGCTTTCTCTATGGAGTCTTTGTTTTTCTCCTTTGCCTAAAGGTAAGGTATCATTAAAGAAGCCTGATTAAATTCTCACTTCAAGAAGTTGAGTGTATACTCAGCATATAAAGAAATTACACCCATTGCATGGATTTTTTTTTTTTTTTTTTTTTTTTTTTTTTTTTTTGGTGAATTCCAAAGACCAAGAGATGGCTTGTTCATCAACCCAGCTTCACCTTCTCATTTATCTCCTCAGGTTCGGTTCACTCACCCTTTCCTTCTGTCATCATTCTTCCCTCCCCAGCTAACAGAGTAGAAGTATTCACAATTTTAAAAGAGGAGCCAACCATATTTAAATTATTGTTGTTTTCAATGACAGAATTTTTGATGCTATTGATAAAATAGCAGTTTTGAAATATGAAGAGAGAACTGGAAATTTGGCAGTTGGACATATGAAACTTGATTTATTTTATTTAAAAAAAATTTGCTTTTTCAAATATTCAGTACTGCAGTTCCCAAATAAAATTTTTTTTTCTCTCACCAGAGACTGCCTTTTTTGAAATTTTTACTTTTGGTCTCAATGGGGAATCCTTAAATTTTGTGATCAGTGTCATCAATAAGATGGTAGAGGGAAGTTTCAAATTTTCATCTCTTTTGCACATTCTTTTCTTACCTATTGGATGGACGAGTTCCAGAAGTGTCTGGCCCAACTCATGTGCACTGAAATTATTACATAATTTTTTTAAAAAGCATGTTTGTAAACTCTAAACTATTTTGATGGTTATTTTATGAAACTAAAGTTTAGCATGAATGAAAGATAAAGTATTGACATTTTAGAGGCATGATTTTTACTACCTTGTATAAATATAATATTGGCAGCAGTCATTGTGTAGGACTGGACGGGGAATCAGGAGACCTGGTTTCTAATCCCTGCTCTGTCACTAACAAGCTGTGTGATCTTCGGTAAGTCATTTAAACTCTATGTCCTTGGCTTTGATATTTATAAATGAAGGTAGAGAGTATCTTCCTTCTAGGATCATTGTCAGGATTTAAAAACAGATAGGAAAATGTAGTGAAAAATTCTGTACATACAGGATTTTTAATAGCTTAACCATGTGCAGTGATTGGTGTTTTTATAGTGTCACATTCTTACTCATTCTACCGTTGTTACAGGAGTCACCTATTGATATGATAAATAACTGTGTTTTGACATGATATAGCTATGTGAGATAGTCATCTAGTGTACATGAATTTGAGTACTAATAAAATCATCTTTCATTTAATGTTCCTAATGTTCACCCTTGCCTTAGTGTTTCTACTGAAGTCATATTTGTCATTTGTTTTCATAAATGTTTTTTCGTTATTTCTCCCAATTCAGACAGACTCATTAGGAAGACGTTACAGTATAAGGCACATGCACAGTTTGTGCAAATTAACTGTGCTCAAAAAGTACTTGTACTATATGGCTTCACAATATAAACTGCCTAGTTTATGTGGTGCTTAATTTAAAACAAAACAAAACAAAACAAAACAAAAACCAACAGTAATCTATTTAAAACCTGAAGAAGAAATTGGGTGGACCTACTGTGAAGCAGTATGATTCATAAAGAACTTACTTTAAAGAGTAATACAGAGATTTTTTTAAAGGTAACTTTGACCACAATTCTCATCTTTGCTGATTTTAATATAAGCCTTCTGTAATATGCAACCCAAGTGTAATTTCAAGTAACAGAATATTTTGTCTGTTGACTAGGATTTGTTAGATTGCTATTATAGTGCTCAGTAGATTTAGCAATTACTGTCATAAGGTCACACTTCAGCCAACACTATAAAGAAAATTTCTTGTGTATAATCTTAGCAACCATTATTCTATCATTGTAGAAACTGTCATATTGCTTTTAAACATAACAGAATTTGTACAATTAAATGAATGGTGTCTTTCCCACTCCCACCTACCCAAAAAAGGAATCATCTTGGAAAGCTATAAACTAGATTCAGTGATACTGCCATTGCTCAAAAAAAATTTGGCATTTTATTTTTGGATTACCTTCACAGTTACAGCACATTTAAAAAAATATCTGTAATGGTAATTAATATTCATCTTTTGAAATTGGATTTCATTTTTAAAAGCTGCTAACAGTTCCTAAACTAAGACAAGTCAATAATATAGGTATTTAAGCCACTCTCTGGGATTTAAAAAAAATGGAGTGGGGTTATTTTCATATTTTTATGTATTTTTTAATACTGTGTTTTATAGAAAATGTCCAAGAATATTGTGTGCCATGGTGCAAATATCAGAATAATTAGCCTCATAAGGTGATTTCTTTGAAGGAGATAGCAATCAATAGAATATATAAGTTCTTATACATACATTATGAGGTCAGTCACATTACATTATGATATGTCTATATTCCTTAGCAACTACAAAAGACATGTTACTGTTCTTCTGGTTATCTTACTTGTCTCTAATTGTTCCTTGTTATATACTTGTGATAATTTTAACGGAGGTCGGCCTTTTGTGAATCAGAAACTTAGCAGTATTTGTTTTCCTTCCCAATATCATACTCCGCTTCACCATGAAACTTTATTTTTTCACCCAATTTTGGATTGTTAGTAAGTTTTCTGTTGGATTTTATCTTTTACTTTGAGTGGTTTGAAGCCATTGCCGTTTTACTAAGATATATAGAAGCTGCAGTTTTACTGAATAGGTGATCTCTAAATTTTGCAATGCTATCTTTTGTCAGCTACTACTTTATAACTTTCTCCATATAAATTGATCCTTTGCGTTATAAATTCATATCATTTCTCCGTTCAGGATACTTTGCCTAAGGATGAATGATTATGATAATCCCACCTTATTTTTCTATACTTATCTCTTTTTTTCCAGCATAAAGGCTTTCTTCACACTTTTTTGGTCACACTTACTTACTTAACATACCATGTTCTCTCTCAGTGCAACAGTTTGACCTTACCGTTTTTACCTGCCTGAAATCCTTTTTTCTATCATTGTTTTTGTTGAAATATAGCCAGACCTTTAGAAGTCTATCAAATCATATCTGTTCAATCAAATCTTCAGTGAAGCAGTTGCTATACTGTTCTTCCTGCATCTTTATAATTTTATTGCAGTTATTTTTAATCTCTTATTTTGTACTATTTTTCTTAAGATATGCTTATATGTTCTACCCATGGATAATAATCTGGAGAACAACAGGACCATTATTTTTCTATGTATTTCTTTCAGCACAAAATATAGCATAATTTAGAATAAGTTCATGCAATTGTTTCGTAAATGTTCAGTGAATTATTTGTTGAATAACTATTCTCCCATCTTCACTCAGATATTTTATGTGATTTTTACCTTTATGAACCATTTTATAACACCAAATAAATATAGTTTGTACCATAAATACATTCTTTTTGAAATCTGGTTATCATTATTATATTCCTAATAACTTTATTTTGTAGAAGCTTAAGTGAAAATGGTACATGTTAGAAGACACGAAACAAGGAAAAATTCTAAAACTCAAGAGCATGAGCAGAAATCTCGAGTTGATTGGAGGCGGACTAAAAGAAGTAGCATTTCACAGTTATTTGATAGTGACGAAGAGCTTGACAACGACGACGAGTTTGACAGCGACGAAGAGCTTGACAGTGATGAAGAGCTTGACAGTGATGAAGATCTTGATGGTAACAGGGGGTTTGATAGTAATAAAAAGCTGGAAAATGAAAGAGAACTTAGATTAATTAATGTTGAAAGTGATGGTAGTAACTGTGAGCATCTCGTGAACACTGGCAACAGTTCAACATATGAAGAAGAAAAGAACAAAAACAAACATAGAAATATTGACTTACTAGATCATGAAAAGCATTCAAATCAAGAGGATGATGATCTCAACAAACACCCTGGACAAATACTAGAAGAGGACTTAGAAGAAGAACATATCAAGCGAGGGAAGAGAAAAAGGATCTCCTCTGTTATGTATGACAGTGATGAGAGTGATGATAGTGATATCCTAGTTAGAAAAGTAGGTGTTAAGCGTCCACGTAGAGTGGTTGAAGATGAATGTTCTTCAGTCGAGATGGAGCAAAAAAAGCCTGAAAAAACTTTAGCTGCAAGAAAGAGAGAACAACTCCAGAAACTGAAAGAACTCTCAAAACAAAGATCTCGTCAGAGACGCAATAGTAGTAGAGATTTTGAGGTGTGTTATATTTTATTGGTTTTGTTACTGTTCTTAAATTTTTCCTTAAAGTATTTAATTTTTATAAAAATCAAAGTGTTGAGTCTGTTCCATTTCTCAATTCTTGAATTTAATTTTTCAATCAAGTATCCTTCAACATGTTTTTACTGTTGTGTCTAATATACTGTTTTACCATGAGCCTCAATTTATCACTCTTTTAAAATTGAAAGACTGTTTAATATGGTCTTTCTCTTTTTAACTTATAATCTTAATATCCACTTTAAACATTTTATATCATTTACCAAGGTATATCATCTTCTTCCTAATCCAAAAAGTTCAACATTTGATACGACAAGACTTTTTTTTAACCTTACAATATGAAGTTAATTTCCATGGATCATTGTTTTGGTTTCAGATTTAATCTTTTAATTTCATATCCATACTTACAATTTAAAGGTACAAATTTACTGAAGAATATGTTTTAATTTAATTAGGACTCTGAAAAGGAATCCTGCCCAAGCAGTGATGAAAATGATGATGAGGAGGAGGAAGATGATTATGAATATGATGAAGATGGAGATGATTATATTATTGATGACTTTGTAGTTCAAGATGAGGAGGGTGATGAAGAGAATAAAAGCCAGCGAGGAGAAAAATTGACTACATCACAACTGAAATTAGTAAAACAGAATTCTCTTTGTAAGTCAATATCAAGAAAATGTTTTACGACTTGCTGTAATCATGATATTATATCAAATATCAGATCAGCCTTTTACTATCATGTCCTAAGTCACTGATTAGAAACTATGGTTTTATTTTTAGGTAATTTCGTCACTCTGAGAATAGTCTATTCTAGTATTCTAGTTAGTTTCAGGAACCCTCTATACTCAAAAGTTATTGAGGACCCCAAAGAGCTTTTGTTTTTATGGGTTATATCTCAGAACATTTATCACTATAGAAATACAGAACAGAGAAATTTAAAATACATTTATTAACTAAGACTTAAACCAACAATAATAAGCTTGTTACATGTTAACATAAGTAACATTTTTATTTAAAAAACTATTAAAAAATAAGAATGGCATTGTTTTACATTTTAAAATAGTTGAATTTAATATATAGCTTAATAGAAGGCAGCTAGGTTCTGATACCTGCTTTTGCATTCAGTGTATTTTGATGTTTTACTTGAAGTAAATGAGAACAGTTTTGCTTCACACAGATAGGTAGCTGGAAAAGGGAAAAAGATTTTAAAAGTATCTTCAAAATAATGTGGATATTCTTTGCAAAATCACATTTGTTGATTTTACCCCCAATCTTATAAAAAATTTTGTTAGGTATGGGGAAGCCATCAAGCTCACAGTAGTAGCAGATACAAATTTTCTAAAATTCTGATTTCTACTTAAAAATCTGGTTTTTTCAATCTGTTTTTTTATCTGTTTTTAATTTTTTTTTAATCTTTGGCAAGAGATACTGTGAGTTCTTGAAATCACAGGTTTCCTTTGCTCTTTTTTGAGAAAATTGACAAATACATGCATATCCATTGGTTGTCAGTCTTTCTTTTTCTTTTTATCTTTCTTCCTTACTCCCTCCCTCCCTCTCTCTGTTTTTCTTGCTTGCTTGCTTGCTTGCTTCTTTCTCTTTACATAAGTAGGTAAACTCTGCACCCAATGTGGCACTTGAACTCACAACCCTGAGATCATGAGTCACATGCTTGTGTGCCTGGGTGGCACAGTTGGTTAAGTATCCTGAGTCTTGGTTTCTCAGCTCAGTTAGTGATTTCAGGGTCCTGAGATTGAGCCCTACATTGGGGTCTGCCCTCAGCACAGAGTCCACTTCAGATTCTCTTTTCCTCCTGTTCCTGCTCTCTCTCTTTCTCTCTAAAATAAATAATTTTTAAAAAAATTTAAAAAGTTGCATGCTCTACCAACAGAGCCAGCCAGGTGTCCCTGTCAGTTGTTCTTTCAAGTAAACGTGGTGTCTCGTGATAAATGAGGCTTTGTCAGCTCCCAACTCAGTGCTTACTCATAGTATGATTGATCATACTATGATGCAACCTAGGTACTTTATGCATATTTCTCATTTCATCTCATTGAATACTAAAAAGATGTATGTTCAAGATTTAATAAAATTAATATTTTTTACTACTTCATCAAGGACATTCTTAGTGAAAGTAGCTTTTTACTGAATATATAACAATGATGACTACAGTGATTACTAGTGGTTCAGTGCCACTGCCATGATTCATGTTATCCAGCTGCCTTACCTTTAGTTACTTTTTGTACCAACATTGGAAATGTCAACATGGTAAGAACAGCATGATTATCATAGTGTTACTATTTTGACCTCATAGATCCCCTTGAATGAACTTGGGGACTTATAGGTGTCTACAGACCATAGTTTGAGACCCTGACATTTTGGGGTATCTTAAAATATGTATTATTTTTCTAATCCATATAATTGTGCACAAATTCAGAGATTGTTTTTATGATGTTTTACAACTCTGGTAGAAACAGGCTATTAAGTGAATACATTTTTTTTTAATTTTTTTCTTCAAGAATGGATTCTTTCCAGTTTTTTAAATGACCGTATTTACTAAAATTATGTGTAACATGGTTCAATGTCAATCTCATGATTTATAATAAAATAGTAGATTAAGGTATGAATTAAATTTCAAGAAATTTATCAGTTATAGAGATGCCAGTGATAAGCATCTATATTTCAAAAGTCAGTGACTACTTTCCTTTTTTCATTTGTTTGCCTGCCACCTAGACACTGAAATTTTAGGGAAACTCAATTAGGACATATCCCATCATTCTGGTTATAATATCTAGAATGTGATAGAACATTTTCTCAGTAATACCTACTAATGCCTATTCCTGCTAATTTATGAAAATTAAAGTTCATTACTTCTCTATCCTACATCTCTATGCTTACTTTTTTTTTTTTTTAAGGGACAATTTTAGGTTTACTAAAGAGTAGAAAGTACAGAGAGTTCCTACATAATCCCTCTCACACACAGTTTCCCTATAATTAACATTTTGCATTAGTTTGGTACACGTGGTAAGACTGATGAGCCAATATTGATACAGTATTAGCTACAGTTCATATTTTATCTCAGGGCTCACTCTTTGTGTTGTACATTATGTGGGTTTTGACAAATATATAATGTTCCATCATTACAGTATCATACAGAATAGCTTCACTGTCCTCAGATTCTCCTGTGCTCTACCTATTCATTTCTCCCACCCTCCAGTGAACTCCAGGCAACCACTGATCTTTTTAATGTCTCCACAGTTTGCCCTTGATAGAATGTTTTATAGCTGGAATTACACAGACTAAACTTTTTCACTTATAACATGCATTTAAGTTTCTACCATGTCTAAATGTGGCATGATAGATTATTTCTTTTTATCACTGAATAAAATTTCATGTATGGATGTACCACAATTTGTTTATTCATTCACCTGCTGAAGGACATGTTGGTTGCTTCCAAATTTTGGCAATTATGAATAAAGCTGCTATAAATATTTGTACGCAGATTTTCTATGGATACAAGTTTTCAACTCATTTGGGTAGATACCAAGGAACACTGTGCTTGCTTCTACTATTGAGCATCTCTGCCTGAGAGAGAGAAGAATCTCTTTTTATGCAATACATTTTACCTTGTGTGTTTGTAATTGCAACTAATTCTGGCCTTATCCTTAGAAGTTGTCTTTTCTCAACTTGTAACCATATTCATGCCTTTACTCCCTTGAGGTGTATGTTTCATTAACCACTGTTCAAAATTGTATCCTTTGTTCCAGTTTCCCATTACCTCTACAAAGCATTGTTGGGCTCCTGCACCATCAATCAGTGAAATTTTTCTCACTAAAGTTAGTGATTACTTCCTAGTTGCCAAAATGCTTTCCAGTTCTTATTAATGTGGTATTGTTAATGTGCTTTGATCACACAAGAAATTGATCACGCTCCCTTTTAGAAAGTTCTCTTTTAAGCTTCCATGGTACCATCTTGTCTTCCCCTTTATAATACTGCTTTCCTCTTTTTCCACTTGCCATGTAAATATTAATGTTTCTAAAGGTCATCTTCAAAAACTCCCTTGTTGGATTTCAGGCAGTCTCTTCCCCGTAACTTTAGCCCAGTGTATAGACAAAAATTTCCAAACTTTTATTTCCAGCACAGGTTTTCTCCAAAGCCTAAGTCATAATTTTTCATCTTATTGAACATTTTCATCAGGGTATCTTTCAGACACCTCAGACTCATTATGTGTAAAACTAAATTATTGAGCGTTAACATAAAGGAGTTTTGGGGTGGTGTAGAACTATTTTGTTTGTTTGTTTGTTTCTTTAGTTTGTTTTGTTGTTGTTGTTGTTGTCATGGTGGTTACAGAACTTATGCATTAGCCCTAGAATTGTACACTAAAAAGAGTGAAATTTATGGTATGTGAAAAAAAAAAAAACCTCAATAAAAAGGACCAAATAAATGGGCATTCCCACTTCCAAAAAATAACCTCAATGGTTAATCCACTTCACTTTTCTTTGCATTTCTCACACCATTTAAAGCTGATAATAATGTATTGGATAATATAGAGGAACTCATTGTTAGTTGGATGGATGGGTGATTAAGCTAAATGTATTGGCTAAAGGCTCTTAGATCTATACTTCAAGACAGAGAAATGTTAGATGTGAACAGACTTCTTAAAACATCAGAGGAAAACAACCCCACACATTTTAGAGTGAGACTGTATGACTTGTTTTTAATACTTATCCATATTTATGCCATTTATGAATATAATAAATACAATTAAGTATAGGCAGTTTCCAGTTCATCAGGGATTATGTTCTAAAAGTCACTGAGGGTAATTCTTATACTTTAAAAATATATTTTCTCATTAAATTAATAACCTATGTGATGAATAGTAAACATTACACTATTGCTGGGTTAGGCTATAATTAGGCTAATATTCCCAGATTCATTCTCTTCCCAGTCTCTATAAGAACACTGAGAACATTTGATCACAATTTGGAAGAAACATTTCTAATTTCAAATTCACCTCTCATGTGAGAATCAGTGAGTGGCCAATTCAATTTTACCTTTTTGAAGAGAACAGTTCTACTAATAGGAAGACATTTTATCACTTACTCATCTGCCATTTGTCTCTGAGAGATCTATCTGTAACACCTCAGAATAGCATCCTCTTCCACTATACCTTTGAAGAAGTTGAAGACTATCATGGTCTTTTTTCTTTCTCATAAATCCCTGTATTTCTCTAAGTTTATTTTGAGACTGTAGCTCCCTGATAAGATATGATAAAAAGTAGAAGGATAGACTAGCAGTGCTCCACTGTACTCTAGACCTATAATGTTCACATGCTAATAATATTATACACAGATTGATAGGAATAACCTCCAGATTTGTGGATACTGAAGATTATATTGTTTTTCCAGTACTCTATCATATGTTCAAAGTGAGAGAGAAGGAAGTATAGACAGAAGAGTGCATCTAAGTTTACTAGTGTCTTACTAGATAAATACTTGCTATCATACTGGAAATTAGACAAAAAGCAAACATTAACTTAGTCTCCACCTAGCAGTTAAAGAGAATAATTCTATCAACATAACACAGAATGTGCCTAACAGTCTTGCAACCATTTACATTATTAAATTCTAGAATTTTCCCTTTTTTGTAAGATGAATAAAAAG